AATACAGACACACTCATATCACTGATTATAGTTTAAATGTTCAGTAATTATGTTCTTCAGTTATGTGCATCAGTTATTGTTATTATTGTAATTGGCCGTTAAATAAAAATATCTGATTATTATCTCGAACGATTTACTTACATAGTATACTATATAAAGTATTTAAAATATATGACAAATCTGATTGGAAGTATGATCCAATCGATCCTTCGCTTGAAGGTCCATTCATTAAATTAAATGAATATTAATAAGACAAACGTTAAAAATATGGATTAAAATATAAAACCATTGCTATAAAGTTTACAGAATATGTAGAATTAAGAAGAAATTCCTAAAACTATTATATGTAACTACACTTTCTTAAACCATCTCGCGAATATATTTTAGTTTTCAATATAAGACTGAAAATACAACGATATCGTTTTATATGACAGATTAAAATATAAAACCATGATTATAAATGTTTCAGAATATACAATCCTAATAAGAATATAGAGTTAAGAAGGAATTTCTATGATTATTAGTTGCAAATACACTTCCTTAAATGACCCTTCTATTTGTTTGTTTATTAACGAGTATTTACAATCACAAAACAGTTCTTCGATTAAAAAATTAGAGATGAAAAAATTATAATCGTTTTAATTATTTTAATCATTAATTTAATTCAACACACCGTCGGTTTTTTGCAAAAAGTCATTAAGTGACATTTCATAACCTTGAATCGCTAAGAACTTTGATGGTTTTTCCCATTAAGTCAGAAAATATTTTATCTCTATTTGATATTAAAAAAAAAATTCGTGTCATTTTAGAAAGAATGAAAGAAAGTAAATTTTATTTTAAATTATTCAATAATTTTTTTGTCCATTAATAAGATCAATATTCACAAAAAAACTCTTAAAAGTTCAGCACCATTAAAAAAGCACATAGTGAATTTTTAAATGACTTACTATAAAATTAATTATGATCTAAAAACTTTTTAAGTTGTTAATTATTTATTTAATTAAAATGAGTAAGATATTTATTACTTAATCGATTCTTATAATGCTATTAATTTTATTGAAAATTTACGGTTATTGAATATAACATGAAGTTTTATGACTCAAAACTGTAAAATTGTATTCGATATCTGCATATCGATTATGATTGAGTAAAGGTTGGCAATTATCGGGCAACCAATAATGTAACCTTAATCTTAATATGTTTAATTTTGATAACATAATTCTAAATAATTATTGGTTGTAGTAAAATAACTTGTCAAAGGTTCATCAAAAGGCAGACGAACTTGAATTTTCGATTGGAATATTGATGACTAAATTATTTAACTCAGAACTATCAAAAGTATCACTAAAAATCTCCAAAGATGACAGACGTACCTGTAAAACACACTGCAACACAAACGCTACACGGACACAACCACCAACTCTAGCAGAGGGCTACTGACTCTCTGATAGTCACAACACTTGGAGGGGGTGATTCAGCCTCGGTGAAAGTCGGGTCGTACCAGTCAGTTTGACACTTCTTATCGTAGTTGACCATGTTATCGGATATTGTGACGTTACTAATCTTTAGACATAATATGATTAGGTCTGCATATTATCCAGTTTAGATATATATTATTTTAATTAATAAAACATAAGTGAAACCGAAAGTTCAAATCTTTGCCATTCTTAAAATGTTTTAAGTTCAAATATCAGCTTGAACCAAATACACCAGTATTTTTTAGCCTTGACTGTTACTACAATAATAACAGTTTTTGCTGTAGCCATTGAAAAATTTTTGATAAGTATATTATGCCTTTCATGATAATCCTCCAAAAAGAGTTATGAAAAATATGTAACAGCTGGCGCTGGATTGGTTTGATCAAGTAGTTACTGAGTCGAGAACAGTTTCTTATAACATATTTACTACATTTCACTTGTTCTTCTAATATTTATGCTGTAAGAAATATAATCACGACAGATTAAGATTTCATTAAGAAGTAATCCGTCAAGTGAAAAACGTCAGTTTACCCTGTTTGGACGCCATTTTGAGACTGTTCCGTCAGTCACTTCGTTTTGTGAAAACTTTTTTTTTAAATTAATTGTTTCAAGGAACACCATAGAGAAGTCTGTTCCATAGACTATCATATCGATCAATCAGATTACTTCCTACCGCCCCGGTGTGCCGACTTGAAGAGTCGACCTTTGGGGGCCACTTGTTAGTAATTAAAATAAAATAAAATAAAAAAATACAAAATGTGTTAAAATAATTAATTTTAGTCTATCAATAAAGCAACTGTATTAGAGAAATATTGAATGAAATCATATGCAATTATTACATTATATAAACGAGCTTGAGAAACAGATTTAATTTACTTTTTGGTGAGGAGATGACGTCATTGCCCGGGGACGCAGTATAAATAAGGCTGGGACTATCCAAAACTTTATAGCAACAAACAATCAAATAAATCCGAACCATCAAAATTATAAGCTAATGGCGTTTTTATGGAAATTACTCAAGTGTTTGGCATCAGAATTTACTCTTTAAACCCCATAGAACACTTCCACCTACCTGTCTTATTCTACAATCCTTTCTTTAAGATAATTTTGTCTCCGACCTCCACCGGAGTGAACTATCCTCTATAAGTTCTATCTCAGCAGGAGTGCCCCAAGGACTTGCTCAATTACTCTACTTTACATACACGTATGCCTTGCAGTTGTAACATATGCAGATGACTAAGCAAATTTAGCAGGACCCAAAAATGAAGCATGCGCCTTATAGGCTCTAAAACAGTATTTAATAAAATTACCGCTGGCTTTAGTACCAGTGATGAGGTTGAGAGAGTAGCGCAGGGTTCTCCTGGAGTCCTGTTTTTGCCTCCATAGTTGGAGGAACAAGCCTGTCTCGGAGTTCACTCGCCTGATTGTAAATAGTGTATATAGGTATGCAAGTGGTTTTTCCTTTGTTTTAATTTTCTTTATTTCATTTATTGTATATAATTTTTGATTATCATTTATTGTTATTTTGCTTCTATTTATTTTATATTTGTTTGTACATATTGTGTGAATGTTATTCCAAATCACTATAACTAATGCCCAAGTGACAGATTGTTGTATTACTCAATAAACAAATAATCACTAAAATAGTTTAATACACTCTACCTTCCAACCCTACTGTGCGGTAGTGAGAGCTGGGTAGTGAGCCTGGGGGAGATAGGCAAAAAAGTAGACTTAACGCTGCCGAAATGAAATATCTGAGAAGAGTAGCTGGCCGAAATAGAAGAGATTGCATCCAAAACGATCGGATTAGAAAAAATGTTAAGGTGCCACCAATGCTGGAAACCGTGGAAAAGAAAACGCTCAAATGGTTCGGTCATGTTATGGGAAGGACGATGACAGGGAACCCAGAAAATTTGTTGAGGCAAGACCCACAGAAAAGAGACCAAGAGGACGTCCAAGAAAAACTTAGATTGACGAAAACCAAGGTCGGACAGAAAAGAGGCGAGCAGTTGGGTCATATGAGAGACCTGGCGAGGGACCGTGATGACTGGCGTAAATGTGTGGAGGCCCCTCCACGCTGAAAGGTACTAAGGAGGAAAACAAAGAAGAAGAAGAAGACTAAAATAGTAAAATTTCATGACTGGTTTCACCTCTGAAAAATCGTACTAGGTAAATACGATGTATCAAAACACTCCTAAGCATAAATCTTGTCATCTAATTTTCATTCAGCTCTCCAAAACTGAAGGAAACTTTTTTTTTTCATTGGTCTGTATTTGTTTATTTAAATGGTCTAAGCTAAATACTTTTCTTTTTTTAAATTAAATCATAAATATGAATAACATACTATCACAATGTATACTATTTTTTTAATTATAATGTATATACTGAATGTGAGTTAATAAACACGTTTCAGAGAAAGATATGAGAAATTTATCTCCTAAAACATTACTTTATCTATAATCCTGTTTTTGTTTTTTTTTTCTCCTTTTTTCCTTTAAGACCATTTTGACATATTTTCATATAAGCAATGAATTGTTTTCTATTTTTTTCCAGTGTAATTACAATTTAAAAAAAAAAAAAGAAAATTTAAAAAACGCTTCCATTCAAAAATTAAATCCTGGATCCGCTACTGCTGTATTTAAACACAGACTAAAAAGAAATATTTGCATTACCTTTTTCACTTATGTCTCTTTAACAGCCGAAAATTATTTTTAAGTTTCTAACCATAGGCGCTTGCTTCCGATTTTGATTGGGGAGGGCCATGGCCAAAAAAAAACAACATGATTTTCTACTATATATAAAAATTCAACATAATTATTGTAAAACGAGCAAATATAATATTGAATATTTAAAATTAATCTGTTTATACTTTTGTATAATTCTAAGTATTTTCATTTTCATTGATTTTTTTACTTATATATATAAAAAAAAAAACTGTACCACTACAACCCATGAAGGGTCTGGGGTTCAGAACAATTTAGGGAAAGCATTGTTTCTAGGTCAATGGTTGTGCAAGGAGGTGATTTGACCGAGATCACGCTCAACCGCCAGGTTTTCCCCCTTAATTAATTATTTAATTAAGGTTTCCCACTTTACAGAGGCTGGGTGTGCCCTAGGAGGGTCTCCAGACCCAGGGTCACCCCACGTACTTATATATACTTGAGAATATATTTTAAAACTACAATTGAATATACAACATATTTTTTTAGACCAGAGGTCTATCTAGCTCAATTTCTTCAATCCAAATAGTACTTAGTGTAGTCATATATATGAGTACTTTGCAATTAATTGGAAGCTTAGAGCGTTTGTCTAGTAAATGCTTAAGTATTAGAAACCGTCGAGCGGTTTCTTATCGTTTTAGTCTGGTATGAGGATTCCAAGTTAGACGTTTATCCATACTTCAAAAGTGAATAAGCCAATATTCATGACAGTAGACAATTTATATCAAGGGAGAATACTTTCCTTTTTAGCCAAAGATAAATTAAGTTGTTTCTATTTATTCATTTCAACTTAATGATTACAGATCTATAACATCCTTAAAGAAATGGATTTTTTTTGCCTTCGGGCCACATTGAGACCTCGACCAAAGACTCACAGACCATGGTTAGTGGTGAGAAAAAATAATCTTGTTTCATAAATTTCTCAACTATGAAATGAGATTTTTAAGAGAAAAAAAAAACATGCAAGAAATGTTGTGGTGACCTTGTATGTGAGTAATTTGCTGAATTTCATATTTTGAAATAGTTTCCAAATTTTACAACCTTATCAAAGAAACTCGCAGGCTGGATCCGGCTCACGGGCCTTAGTTTGGAGGCTTCTGGTTTATATTAAACATAAGGAGGGGTGGCAGCCTTCATAACGTTGGTATATTTCTTAAACTTATTCAACTCAATGCGAATAATATAAAAAAGTGAAAAATATCTTTGACTATTTAGTGTGTACAACCTCAAATAAAAATACATTCTTCACCACCTGATTAGTTTGCCACGGAAAATGTTATAAGAATATCACGTGAAAGTTGAGTGGTGATTTAATTATATAATCCTAGGATATGTTAATATATATTATTATCTTGGGATATAAAAGAAAATTTAAATAAAAGTAGCATTTAGGTATCAATAAAATAGTTACATACCTACAACTAGCCCAGCTAGTCAACTTTTCTTGATCGCTTTTATTCATTCATATAGCTTATTTATTATTGATTTTAATTTTTTTCTAGTTCAAATTATGTGGGGGAGGGAGGGGAAGGGAAGGAGTAGGACATTCTTGCCTTTAACATTTTTATTGGAAAAGGATCACCTCCTCGCCTCTCAGAAGTCTGTGCCTATGATTCAAACTATTTACCGCCTGTTTAAGAGGTAGACTAATTGGAAAATAAGTGAATATTTTCCAAATCTTCATTTAGTTTTCTCTTAATATTTCATGTAGATGTAATGGATTTTCGCATTTCAAACAGCATTCTTTCTAAGCCAGAAAAAGTTTCATATTTCTCTTAAAAGGGGTTTCCAACATATTAAAAAAGGCTAAACGAAAAACATATATAAAGATGTTTCTGATTTTCATTCCGTTTCCTTCTTATATCTTGGGAAGTCTAATATATTTTCAAGGTTCAAACGACTTCCTCTTTAGAGATAGACTAAAAGGAAAATAAGTAAATATTTTTAAGTCTTTAATCATTTTCCTCTGATATTTCATGAAGAGGTTGGATTTTCCCAATAAAAATTATTTTCTTACTTTTCTAAAAGAAAAAAAATAATTAAAAAGTTTCCATTCGCTTTTTAAGTGTGGATACTCATAATAGAGTTATTATGTTTTTTTTTTAAATGTCTAGGATATTTATAAATGCAACTGAAAAACAAATTATCACAATTTTTCTTTTTCTTCAATGGAAATAGTATTTTTGTTTCCTTCGATAAAATTTGTTTTTATGGACTTCATAGGTTTATAAAGGAAACCATCAATTTGTACATGGTTTGTTCAAGATAAATTTACAGAGTACTGTTTCATGGATGGACACAATATACGTTTGAAGAGCAGTAATGAATTTTCAATCTTTCACGATCTCAAGAAATTATTTAAGAATTAGCCCTTAAGAAAACGTAATGAGAAATGTTAGAAAATCACAGAACATGTTAAAGCAAACTTTATTTAAGTATTTAAGATAGTAATTTTAAAAAAAGGGAAGTAATATATGCACTATTGAAAGTTTATTTTACTTAAAATTTAAAGGTACAATGAATTAATTTAATTCAATTAAAACATGTGGAACAAAGCATTATGTTAACACCAAATAATTTAAATGATATCCAAAAATATGCACTTTTTTGTTATTTCCCCATTTGAAAAAAACCTATAGCTTTTTTTTATTTCTTAGGATATCATATATAAATAGAATATATGCCTTAAAATAAATGTATTAGAACTTAAAACTTTTATACAGATAAAATATTACTAAACAAAAATAAATTAATGAACACACAAGTAAAAGGATTTCAAATGTCAATGGTTCAGTCTAGTTTCTGAATTAATTTTATCAGTCTGGTGTAAGCATCAATCACAAATGTAGTACAATAATCATAATCAGTTACCATCAGACTTTTGGCCTTTTAACAAATAAAATCCTAATACAAAACTACAACTAAAGGGAAGATATACTTATGTGCATAATACTAAAGGTGGTTTTGACACAACATAATTTGTGAATTACATGTTCAACAAATAAGGATGTTAAAAGCTGAGCAGTTCAGGTCACATTTTGAACAATTTGGACTTAAATTCAGAAATACAATCAAGGACCATTAAATAGTTGAAAACAAAGTCAAGTAATGGCTCACCACCAGATACTGTAGTTGAGACTATTTAATTTATTCATTCAACGGTTTAAACCTTCTCGATTAAATTTTTGAACTTAGGTCAAAATTATTGAAGATGTTACTCTGAGTATAAAACTTCTCATTTTCTTCAAGGTAAAATAAAATATATAACAGCAAAACATATAACACTGGATGGAAATATGTAAATAGTATATCTTTAAATTCTCCATATTACATGACATGATTAGTAAAATCTAAGTTAAAATGTAAATTTATTATTTTTTTTTATACAACAGTGTACTTGTCAATTAATTTCCTTCTAACCAAATGTGGTAGAAACAAAGTAATAACAATTATTAATCACCAACAAATATTCTTGACTTATAATCTTCTTCAGTACTAATTGCTAAACTTATAACATATATATTCAAATAATTATGCCATTATAATATTCAATAGTTGAAAATCAAACCATCTTAATAAAAAATGCAAAAAAAAAATAAAATAATTACAGCAAAAATAAACTTTAACTACAAAAAACAAAAAAATAATAATTTAGTTAATTTAAAACAAAGCAAATCAGCAATTTAAAATTTTTACAAGTGAAAAACTATAACATTTTTTATGTACAGAATATAATTTAACCTGTTATCAGTGACAGTAACAGAATTCAATAATAAATGTGTCCTTAAAAATGTTTTATCATTTTTTTTTTAATTTGAAACTTATCACAATTTTTGATACTTACACAATCACTCTCTTTTATAGAACAAATGTGTAATTCAAAGACATTTCTTACTAAGGATGAAAAAACGAATAGTAGCTGCAATATAAGACAAAACTTTATTTAATCTCAACAGATTTATTTAACGCTTCCTTTGTTTCTATTTAATTACTAAAGTAGTTAAATAATTATTATAAGATTTTTGACCACCTTGTCAATGCTTGTAAAGAAAAGATTTTGTTTTTGAATAGCAGTCCCAAAAAATAATATAATCTTTTCCATCGCACAAATAACTAAATTACTAAAATATTTACAAAAATATTAATAAATAATTACAGAGAAAACAGATTCTACTAACAACTACAGTGGATAACATCTATAAAATATCACAATAAATTATTTTTGTAAATAATACTAAATATAAACAGCAATACTTTAATAAAGTATGTTAGGAAAGATACAGATGTAGGGAGAACAGTCATTACAGGTGAATTACCAACTTCACACCAGAAGAGGTTTCTTAAAAACATTTACATTCTTCTTGGAATGTAAGATTAGTATTAAATTACCATCTTCCTTCTGTTTCAATTCTTCCTATTTTTTTTTCTTTTTATTATTGTCATATGAAGAATCTATCTGATGAGTCAAGAGGACAGATTAAAAATTCCAATAGGAGATTCACCATTAAATAGAACCTAAAACATGCATAACCTCAAAAATAGCAGTATTAATAACTGTAAAAACTTTAAATTAATTAAAAATATTTTATAATATAAAAACTCACCTATCTATCACAGCAATCAAATGAAATATTTCAGCTCCATACCATTTACAATATTTCTAAATCACAATGTCTAATTTCAGGGAATTTGGCCTAAAGCAAAATTAAGATGAATAAAATTAATTTATAACTAGTTTACATGTACATATAATAACATATCCAAGAGAACTCGCCCCATGAAATGCTTGAAAAAAAATTCTTAGAACTTCATAACTAAGTTCTTTCGTCATAGAAATAAGGTACTTCGAAACATTTCTTATATATAAGAAAAACTGAGAAGTATATTGATACGAAGATACACTATAGAGATAGTACATTTTTAAAAATCACATGTCCAAGTAAAAAATTACTGTTTGTGTAAATTGTACACAACAATTTTTTATAAAATATTTCAAGAAAGTGAGAATTCATAACGGAAGAAACACCATTTGACTTGATCTATTGAGCAAGTTCTCTCAGATCACGAAGTAGTAGATTTAACATAAAAAATTACCCTCAATTTCACTTCAATTCTATCTATTTCACCACCCATCATATCAATTATGTTTTCACTATGTTTAAGAATAAACTGCTCTAATTCATCAATAGTTTTAAACTGCTGGACTTCCTAGTAAAAAAAATTAATTATATAATTAAAATGTGAGCTCAGTAACAATTAAAAATGATTTCCAAAGTTTGATAATTCTTTATTACTTCATTATAATAATTTGTGAATAATCACAAACAATTTATAACATGCAAATCAATAAAATTAAAAAGAGGTGCTATAGTTTCCTCACCATTTGAATTGGTCAATAAAAAAAACCAAATGCAAATAATAAATGTTTAAAGTAAAACTAATTTAATTATTTAAATGTTTTTAGACATGTTTTAAAAAATTACACAAAATAAAAAATTATAAATTTTTACACATGTTTAAATTAAGATATTTATATATCTTATTAGTTCATAAGAAAAAACAAATGCAGTCATAGACATTAATGAAATTAATAATGTATCTTCTACGGTAATCGGGACTTTAGACAAACCATTTTTTAAATATAGGTATGTCAAAGAAAATATGTTTACGCACGTGTAAGCAAAATTGGCAGATAGAATTTGATAAACTTCACACTGGATCATTTTTATACCAATCACAAACTATTTGGGCCAAAACAGATGAGCAATTTTAGAAATACAGATGTGTCGAGGAAAATAAGTTTCCACATGCGTAAGCAAAAGTAGTAAATGGAATTTGATTTGGGGCCATTTAGGTATCAAACTACGCGATCCGTGAAAATGTCATAAAAATTAGATTAAAGGCAGAAGGTGTTATGTCCATCATGCGAATTAGATCACAGGCAGAAAAGAGACCAAATCAGTTTTCTGATGTATAAAACAAGATGTCAGCAAAAATTGTTTGAACTTCAATATGAATATAAAGCTTCCCTAACTTCAAAGAATTAGGAAGAATAAAGTAAATTTAATCATATAAGCCAATATAAATACATGTAAGCTTATATAATTGGAACAAATATAAATCAAAAGTCTTCATATTTTTTAAAAATATTTAACAATAAAAAGATTTCTTGATTACCTCAAGCAACGCATGAATATTCTGTGAATCGAGATAAGCTTTTGCCAACTCTCTTCCATCGAAATCAAGTTCAGCTTTGTAACGAACAAGATTATTTCCAATATCTATACCTTTTACATCATGGATGGCCCTAATCATTACATCTGATTCCAATTCAGTATTGATTTTTTCCAGAAATTCTTCGGAAATAGATCTATATACAAATAAATAATAATACATAATTAAACAGTTACAAGTTTATTATTAAATAATAGAATATAATTAATGGAAACTTAAGGTAGAATTTCACTGGTTAGATTAAGTGCTTAAATGGTAAATCTGTAAAATACATACATCACAAAAGTATAATAAGAAAACATTAACTTTCTAAAACAAAAAGCAAACTTGACTTGCACCATTATCATTTAATATTCTCAATCAAGTTCTTAGTCTTGGAAATAACGTTATAAAATTTTAATAAAACAAGTTTACACAGATTTTAATAATATAAATAAAATTAGTACCTTCCAACAAGAGCAGCCACATTAGTGTATATAATAAAAGAAGCCACAACTCCCAACAGGCCACCGATAATAAGTGAACCAACAGCATCGGGAACATGTGATCCTGTGAGGGATGTCAAACCCATGCAGGACGCAGCAACGGTAACACCCAGAACAGCAGCTAGGTCTTCAAGTAGCACCACATTAACAGATGGTTCCTGTCCTCTCAGAACTGTATATAAGAAAATAATTATGAACAATCTATTAATGTTAATGAAGAATCTTTTTATTTACAATCATCATTTATTTCCAATACGAAACTTACAAGGGGAGGCTACAGTCAGTGGGTCACCGATTTCAACCAAATTTTTTTCGGTGATGCTATATCAAAAAATATTGCACATATGTTCTGGAGTTCGTTCCAATGGGCCCTAGGAGCCGAGAAAAAAAAATTGTATGTAATATCAAATAAAATTTATGTTATTTATTTTTTCCTTTGTTTTGTCCGGATTTTCAGGTTATTATATATCATCTATTTCTTTTTTTGGTCAGAATAAGAAAAAAATATTGCCTACTGTATTAAATGAGTTATAATGTACCATAAATTACAAAAACCAAAAAGCATTTCTAGAAAAGTAGGTGAAGTGGATTTTTTTTTATGAAAAAGCAGCAAAGAGTCATTTTTAGTGTTCTTAAATACTCTTACATACAAATTTTTAACATCAATATCATATCAATAAATATCAAAAATAACAAATTTGAGTACTTGATTTTTTTGGAGGATATTTTTTCCAGCCCTTAATAAAAGCATTCATAATTTTTGTCATGAGCTTATCCAAATACAGCTTTAGTACATTCGTTGGAAAGTCGCATTACTGCTTTTCCAATCCACATCAATAACTTTTATATTTCATTCCTTTTTAGGCTAGAAATTGAGAAAATTTCTCGGATATCTTTTATTTTATATCTTTGGTTCAGATTTGTTTACAGGTGTCAATTTTGTACCATTTTAGGTAGTATATACAGCCTTAAATCCATAATAATTTTTGGGTGGATCAGTGGAACCATTCAAAAGTTATCATAATTTTTGTGGTTGTCAACATTTCGAAGAATCCAGCCTAGACAACAATTTTGTGCAGAAAATTTTAATTTTTCGATTGCTCTAAAAATTCATAATTAATGTTTTTTTTAGGTGGAAAAAACAAATATAAACTTTCTTTCTCCCTAAAAAAATATTCACTCCCATTGCTAAGTCGATTGGTCCAAATTGTTCCCATGTTGAAGCAATTTGTCAAATATAATATTTATTCAAAACCAGTCTGGTATCTAGAGTAAATATTTTTTTAGGGAGAAACAAAGTTGATATCTTATTTCTTTAGCTGGGATTTCTTAATGTCAATTTAGTATTAAATATCATTAAAGTGATGCATTCAACACTTAAAATGAAACTTAAAACAACCACTTTAATTTCCATAATCTAATAAAATAAATATTTAGGGGAAACAGGTTTGATAATTGATTATATTTACTGAACATCGAACCATAGAATATTTCATATTATTTTATTTCATATATTAAACATATAACAGGTATAATGCCACTAAGCAAGGGCTATATACTTCGATAGTTCAAGGGCACATTTAGTAAATTTTCTCTATTATTCACTAAAAGATCAAAGATGAGTATATATGGTAGTATGATTCCCATTCAAAATAATAATCTGAGTTAATAAGGGTTATTTAAAATAAGTTATCAAAAGAAACAATCATAACCATATTTTTAATTTTAGAAAAAGCTTTTTTTCCTAAGTTTATATAATACTTCTCTTAATGAAAAGTAGTTTTGCTCATCAACAAATCTTTGATAGTTAGGTATCCATATGGAAAGTGAGTTAATACTTGCCATATTCTGTAAAAGTCATTCCTTTGGCAGCAGCACCTTTCTTTATTGAATTAATAGCCACCAATAGCGTAGCACCTTCAGAGACTAATGACCCTCCCAATATGCAGAATGCCTAGACATTAAGAAAACCATAAAATTGAGGGTTTCAGTACTTTAGTGAAGGAATAAAAATTACATTCATCTTCCTCAAATGTTTGTTAAAAAATAATTTTTTCCAATTCTACATTTTTTTCTTTTTTTATGGTGTAAATAAACACTTAAGTTAAATACGTTATCATTTGAGCATACTCTAAATTTAAATAATGAACCTATTTTGTATTAATAGCAGAAAATACAATAAATCAAGAAGATGGCCTGGGTGTGGGTCAAGTCAGCTTATAAAAGAGTCAATTAATAAATTAGGGAGAACATAATAAAAGGTAAAGAGTCATCATATAAAATAGTGAGAATTATTAGAGATTTGCACACTCCATCTGTGATTCCAACACTTGCTAAAGAACCTCTGCATTTGCTGCATGAAGAGCTACAATGGGGTCAAAACGTTGACCTTTTCAGGACGACCTTCTTGTTAAAATAAAGAATCATCACTAAAGAAAAAATCAAAACAATTTACATCATATTGAGGCAAATATTTGGAAAGAAATATTTGCCAAATAATTGACTCTAAAGTCAAAGAAAAAAATATTCATTTTCAACATTTAATAAGTTTTAAATTAACATTTCATAAATATCTTTAAAGACTCGAAGGAAAACCAAAGCGATGATGGCTAATGAATTAATATGCAGGCCTAAAATTGTCAAATAATTCATTACAAACATTATTATATACCTAGGCTAAATAATTGTACCTAATTAAAATTTCATTTACCCAGAAGTAAGATTCAGCAGGTGCTGGATTGTAAAGGCCTGTGATCCCATGGTAAATAGAAAGGCCAGTACCCACACAGAATATACCAACTCCGGATATGAGAGATGAAACATACTTCATATTTGAATATCCATAAGGGTGAACTTCATCAGCAGTCTAAAAAAAATCATCAGAACTTTATCAATACATCTTAAAAACATAAAAATTGAAGGTAGAACTATGGTACTTTAAAGAACGATTGGTGCTATATTTTCATGCTAAACAACTTTCACTTATCACCCTACTTTATTTGTGTATATATATTTGAAATACGAGGGTATAGATCTCTTTTTTGGCTATCAGCAGTGACAAGGTGTGGTGAGAAAGGAAATGATTGAAAGAATGAAGAAGTGACAAATCCCAATTCCAATCTCTAAATTCACATAACTTCAAGAAAAACTATTACAGAAAAAAAGGCGGTAAGGCGACAAATCAAGATGGAACAAAGTGTGATTTAAAGAGTTAAACAAAAACATCAAGAACATCTTAAGTTTGGAACTTAAAGCCCCAAAATGCAATGTTTTTTCAGAGGATAGATGAAATATCAATATAAAAGGTATTTGAAATCTGGAAAAATCTCAATCTCAAGAAACTCAAATTAAGGGTATACAATGCTACCGCTGTGAGATCTGGATACTAACCACACACTAGAAAGAAGTATTGAAAGATTTGAGAGAAAAATCCTCCACATAATAACTGGAGCAATCTAGGATCAGAGCACTAACGCGTAGAAGAGAAAGGTCAATAAAGAACTGCTATAATATGAAGGCAAGGAGGTTAAGACGAGTAGGGCATGTAGCTCAGAGCAATCTTTTAGGAGGCCAAAAGGTTACGTGGTAGGTCAAAAATCAGGTAGATAGTAAATCAATATAGATGCAATAGAGCTACATGCTGATATAAAGAAATAGAGATGGATCCCAAGATCGATAGAGATGGAGAAGGTTGGGAAGGTGGCAAAAGATCTACAAGGTCTGTAATGACAACAGAAAATAAAATCCTATTTTTAACAAACTATAAAATTTTAATTATAAAATCATATTATTTTTATGTATACACACAACTTTTTGAGAAATGGTTATTTAAACTTATAACTTAAATTCTAAATTTTTCACGATTGTAATAATTTCTTTTAACATATATTTATATGCAGGTAACTGAAAGTAAAAATAAATGTTCATTTATTAAATAACAAATAAAATAATCACTAGGAATTAATCACCTGTACAGATTTATGAATACCAAAAGCGAGGATTAGTTGATTAATGGTGTCTGCCAATGAATGAATACACTCTGAAAACATACTATGTGAACCAGAATAGAGCCAGGCAGCCAGCTTGAATACAAAGTTACTTCCGTTTCTAAAAAATATTATGAAAAATTGTGAACAGAACTCAACAATAACTCAATTAGTATTTAATAAATTAAAATTATATTACTTACATTGCTACTGCTGTCAATACAACTTTTCCTGATGAGCCTAGTAAACCAGAAGTTTTAGAGAAAGCAATGTCATTTTGAGAATTTCGAACTCTTCTGTAGTCCCTCAATCGTCTTTTATTAGCAAATAAATCTGTAAAGAAAATTTAAAAATGATTAAAACATTCCTAAGTTAAATATTATTTGAGAAAATGAAAAAACGATTCCAGTCTTACTTTGTTGATGAAATTTCCTTTCTAGATCTCTTTTAAATAATTCTTTCTGCAAATTTTCTTTTGACCCCCATACCTCAATGGCTCTGTAAAAATTGAATCAGCAGCCATTAGAACCTATTGAAAATCAGAATTAGAGTCGATACTTAGGTTGATAGTATTACAAGAGAAACAAATCATATATAAAAAAAATTAATTTCAAAAAGTGAGGGAAAATTCTTTGATATATTTACACAAAATGTATTTGTTAAAAGACACATTAATTACAAAAGGAATTTCCGTGCCATGACTAAATAATAAGTCACAAGAGAACAGTAAATTGGCATGAATGATGAAGGCCCATTTTGGTGTATGTAACAGGCAAAGTGTCTTATGAACTGCCTCACTGCAATGGGTACTGCCTTCACCATGGCACAAATAACAAACAACATATGAATGAGCTGTGAAGACACAACACTGAACACTTAATTATGAATTATTTCAAATTTGCTTCGAGAAGTTAATCATGAATAAAAAAGTTAAGAGCTATTTTAAATGATTCTGCTATTGATTATTGTTAATTAAAAACACCCCCATTCTTCTTTAATTGTATTTACCTCTCATTTTATTTTCTGTTTGAATTTGTATTACTTTTAAGGCAGTTACTTACTGCATATTGTACCCTTTAATTTAATTTAGTAATAATTACATATAATATGCTTGTACAAGGCCTGGTGAACATCCCTGGGTAAATTAATGTTCCTATAATGGGATTAATACTATTAAAAAATAAAAGAAACAAAAATTAAAACAACTGCCCATGCATTGTGATATTGAGTAAAAATTACAACTACATTAATTCAAACATTCTAAAAATTAATATAATACATATTATATTCTTATAAAATACATTATTTTTCAAACAATAGAGTAAGATGTTATATAAGTTACAGTCATATTAGGAATTTCTTAAAAGATGAATTAAACAGAAAATTATTTTAAAATACATAATAAAAATTCCTAAAATAGTTAAGAAGAACTAAACTGATTAGCTGATTTCAGAATTAATCATAGTTTTCTTCTATCATATACAATTTATTCAATTTCACTTCTTACTAATTCATTTATTAATGAGTGTTAGATTTATTATATGTATACGGGGTAGGTATAGTTTGAGGGATATTTATTTAGATACATAAAGGGATTTTGAAAGAGATCGAATAGTGACAGTTTGGCCATGGAAGAAAAATTTTATTTCTGGAACTAAAAATGTCAGGTGTGATATGTTTGTAAATCCAAAAAGTTTTACTTCCACCAGACAAATAAAATTGGACTAAATGAAATAATTTGAAGGATTTTACCACAGAATGGGCCAAGTTTAAAAAAAAATGTGATAAACTTCTTTCTCTTCATCACAAAAGACAAATTGAAACCTTGAATTTGGTTGGTCCTTAAATTAAAAAAACTGATAAAGCATCAAGATTTCAAGAATATAATGTCCTTGGCAATCATAATTACAGAGCCACAGCTAAAATAATGTTGAAAAGTTAGAAAGTAAGTGTGAAGTTCAAGATAACGAGTGTGAAGTTCACTTCTTACACCCTATAACAACTACTTTCCAGAACATTTAGGATATTATTTTGAAAAGTGAGGACAAAGCTTTCACTGGGAAATTAAGGAGAGGGATAGAAGATAACAGAGGATGAGGAATGAATCTATGATGGGTGACTAGTGTTGAATGTTAACAACAGGCAGTGAAAATAGAACATCAGAAAGAAAGTTAGAGAAAGAAAAGTCTAAAAATTAATGAGATATTTTATTGCAAAATGGTTAAAATGTTATTAGAGCAGTTCTTTGCAGTATTAAAAAAAAAAAAATATTATGAGAAAAAAGGTTAATACATCTGTGCTTACAGAACCTAAACTCTTAAAACCATAAATCTCATTTTGTTTGAAAACCTGATTTGATAGAAACAATAGAATTTGTATGTTGTATCTTTGTAAAATCAGCATAGAAAATTGATTCAAGAACATCTACTTTAAATAAACGAACCAATAAAAAGTTTTAAAATGCAGACTGGCAAATAAATAATTATAATTACTTCATCAGTCTTTCTTAGCAACATGATTTTCAGAGATAAAAACATATGGTACTGAAGTAATAATAGTACAAACAGCCTCATATTTTCAATATAAGAACATGATTATAAATAGGAATATAATAACACATACTTTGCTTCAACATCCTTTCGCCAGTAAACAGTGATGGGAGGTTCATTTTCATATGGGGATCGCCTTTTGGTAGCTTTCAAAGATTCCAAGTCTTGAGGCTTTAGAAGGAAATCAGAAATCGCCCTAGCAGGTGTGATAAAATTGCGTTCCATAGAAGCAACACTCAAATCTACGCGTACTTTTTTCTTGACCGCTATAATCAGAAACATATCCTAATTTCAAGACCGCTAAATGTATTATAAATCTAAGATATTACACATGAATAATAAAAATTAAGAACCAGAAATTAGCCTCATTGTGAATGGCATAGGCGTTGAATAAAAAAATAAATTTTAAAAAAATAATCAGAAACTATAATCAAAATATTGTTTTAAATATTTAAGCTTATGTTAAATACTCCTATATAATTCAGAAACAATTAGATAAAATTACATAGCAGATGTGCACGTGCTTTATAATTACAATTTACTTAATGAAATCATAGATCAGGAAGTTTCAATTTCAATTTCAATTTTAAATGTCTAGTTGTGAATTGGAATAGTGAAAAATATAATAAATAACATGAGAAAATACTGAACAAATATAATAAAACATTTTCAAATGATAAATGTAAGAAATAATTCATTACAATGTAAAACAATGCTTTACAACAAAATATTAAAAACATGAAAACATTTATTGTTTCAGTAGAAATAAGAGCCTAATTAAAAAAAATGTAGTAACAAAATTTACCTTTTATTAAAGGATCTTTTGCTTTAAGGATTTCCTTTCCTTTGGAGTTAGCATTTTTAGGATTACCAGGAGTTGGAAGAGAAGGAATAGGAGTCAATAAGTCGGGTTCTTTCTTAATTGGTTCAAACTTGATGTCTTTGATGATGTTTTGGCTAATTGAAGGTTGAGTCTGAGATTTCACATCCATTTTTACCTCATTACAAAATGTAATCGTAGTTAACTGACAATTAATTTCTGCTTCAACTACTGATCTGTTATCAAAGGCACTCAAAACTGTTAAAGGATTGGATTATTGAGAAAAATTAGAAATCAACAGGATGTTAAGTATAAAGGGAAACAGCATATATAGTATGTTGAGTGTCAAATATATATCAAAAGACACTAATAAATTAAAAAAATTGACATGATAATATATTAATAAACTAGTAAATTTTAGTGACTATCATGTTTTAATAAATAAAATGAATTATAAAAAGAAAGAAAAAAATAATGTTCAGGCTTATCAGAACTGTCCTATACATAATTTGAATAAGTAATCAGTAAATAATACTTCAGATGAAATAATGATTAAGGTAATTGTAACCGGGCCTGATAATTAATTATTCAATGAACAAATACCTACATCAATTCAATGTTTTCTTTATCATATTCTTAATAAGTGGAATAATTGTATGACTACAATTTGATTCTGATCATATTAAATATTGGTCCCATAAGTCAGTTAACAGCAATTATTATGGAGCAAATAAAACATTAACTGTTAGTCATTTTTGGCGAACATAGGTGGCTACTTAGAAGTGAATATGAACCGATAGTATCACAACAATTTACAGTCTATTTTATGTTTTTATATTTATAGAAGAACTGAGAAAGGGGTATCCAAAAATATACAAAACAATAATTTACCAAAGGGATGCTCTGTAATACATTACAATCGTTATACTGCTAAGTATGATTTTTAAAATAAATACATTTTTTCGATCTTGTAAATGTGATACATTATAGTTGCAAGAACTATAAAAGATATTTCAAAGTTTGCATTAATAATACTTGATAACAAAACTAGGACAAAAAATACTAGTTAGATATTTTATTGTTGAAGGTATCTACAAGTTTTTTTCATTTCCCAACCTCGACATATCTTCGAAATATTAGACTAACTTCACAAATAAAAGATTCGATTATTTCATCGGTCTCATGAATCTTTTAATTATTTCTAAAAATTATTAATTTTATCTTGGTTATTTTGATTTAGTTATAATGAAGCATAATTAACCTTCCTTAAAGAAGAGATATTATACTGCAAATCTATAGCTATTTTATAGAAAATTTGTCATATATCTTTAAAATACAGACAAAAGTTGGAAAATATTTAGTAACATTGGACAATTTGAATTTTTGTAGGAGAAACTGAAATGTGCTGGAAAACCCCTTTAAAGAATCATGTCTCGATAATAGTTTGAGAAAGAAGCAGTTGTTAGCTCTGAACTTTATTTTTAATAAACTATTCCTAAATTAATCACTAATATTTTCTTCTGGGACACACTGGATATAATCATCAGAAGTAAATTAATTTTTTTTTAACCAGCATATATTGGAATCAGTACAAAAGGCATCAAGATTTTGCTGGGTGATTCTTAGTAGATGTTAATATTGTAGCTGTAGGCCTCCCCTAATTAAGAGGGTAATGGTCAAACTTCTAAGTTTTTATAATAATCATTAATTAAGATAATTCTACTTAACTTCAGATCTATTAGATTTAAATAAATAAAATAAAATTGTTTTGTATTCAACAATCACAAAAAAGGAAATAATTATTATTATAAGGATAATTGTTTCATTTAGAAAAAAACACGACTAAAAACTGATATATAATTTCCACTTTTAATTGTAAAAATAAATTTAAGACAGTGGAATTATCCCAGAAAAAATGTAACAATAACTGCTAAAAAAATTAAAAGGATTGAGAAATAAATACCTTTGCTTATGGCATTTTTTAGCAAATCTACAGTTGGATTTGAAGACTGCTTAGAACCAGCTTCTTCTGAATTCAGACACTTTGATGAAGTAGAGATGAACTTTATGTTTTTCATATACGGATATATGAATTTAAGATGTGAGCATTTAATCATCCCTAAAACAGCAATACTTTTTTACAAACTTACAATAAATCCACATAATGTAGGCCCATAATTAAAGAAATTCTAGTTTAATGACCAAAATTTAGAAAGATAAAAATTTGCTTAATGATATAATTATGTTCCATACTAAAATAAAAAAAATCCAGTATGAAATAATTTAATAAAATATTATTCTGATATTCTAGACTTGTCACCCTGATAAAGGTCTACTTTACCTTGAAATAATTAGAAATAAAAAATTTAAATCAGTAACAAGATTAAGATTATTTTTCAGTGGAGGGGATTTATACTCCTGGAAACAAGAACATAATGTCAATTGTATTTATGAAGAATTATGGTCTATTACTAAGCAGTGACATAAACAAGATTATTTATAATTGCATTATGTGATTTTTAAAAATACCTGTGATAAAAAATATATAACCTCAATGTTGATGACTTATTTTAATTTCAGTAAACCAAAGCCACTTAAAATCTAAATATTTTAGAGTGCGACTATGTCAAACTTGAAACATAAACTTTTTTTTTAACAGTAATTACTCTAGAAGAAAAAAAGATAGAAACCATATAAAATAAATTTTACATGTTTCTTGAAAGTCAGATAATAAAAAAAGATGTGTTTACAAGAACAATGATGCTTTTAAGGATAATATTTTTTTACATCTTTTTATTGACACCTACTTGCATTTGGTAGCTAAAACAGATGCATTATCACTTTAAAAAAGTATATGTTTTGATTGTTTATTTAACTCAGATCCCCCACATAAACAAATTTGGAACAATGAAAAAAAATATATATTTTTCCATTTTGGAAGAGTTTCAGCCTTAAAGCTATCCCCTCCAAACCCGTGTGGATCCGCCAGTGCTACTAGTACAATTATCTTGTATCAACTTTCAATTTAAACTTACTTATTTTGGTATACTAGGATATGCCACATTTAATAGCAATAATTAATTGGATGTGAGTAATTAACATAATCAGAAGTAATTTATTCTCCACTACATAACTAACTAAAAATGTATTTTATTTTTTAAGGTGTTTAAACGTGTGACTAAGAATTCATAAATGTATAGACATTCTGTACATAAATACAGGTAGATATGATCTGTCTTGCATAGACATATAGCTCAGAAGATGAGTGGAAGAGCTCAAAAATTAAAATTGATCCAACTTTTGCATAATCATAATCATCTTGTTTATAATTGTTACCCAAAAATGAAAAATCCTTAATAATAGAGCAAAATGCAATATATTTTTACAAGAAAAAAAGACTGTAACTTAGGAAAACAATCTCAAAAATGCACTATAAACAATGGACTACAAAATAGAATAGCAAATACTACAGTCCAGACATTTACTCACCATATCTGTGATAGAACTGTTGGGACTCCATAATATGCTTTGGAAAACTATGAGAAAGGCACTTACTTAAACAGTTGGGTATAATTATCATTTTAAGTTTTTACAGAGTATATATATTTTTTATATGTTAAATTATACCAGTTTTCAATTAATTAAATACTAGACGATAATGTTAGCGTCCTTTTGGCATTTTTTAAAGTTCTAATGACGACTAATTAAAATTTCATTGCCATTGATAAAATTGCACAGAGATTGATAACCTACAAGCTTAAAACAATGTGTAAGGTTATGAACGTTATCACCTGTTTGATAATTAGGCATTGATGTATCATCTGACCTACTTGGCTAAAATAGTTTTTAAATCTTATCGATAGTTTTCAGGAAAAAATAAACATCTAAATATTTATACATAAGATAAACTTTGAACATGTATACCTAAGTTGTATACACATTAATAAATGTAAATTAATTACTTAAAATAATGTAGCCTGTGGACACCCTCTTGAACATATCTTTTTTTTTTTCGCATAGGTTTGCAACGGTTTCAAGATTCCAAAGGAAACTTTTGGAAGCCTAGGATTAAAATGAATAAGCATTTGACGTTTTAAATTGATTAGGGGAAGAGGATTGACGATCCATTAAGTCCACCTTACACGGTCAATATTATTGAATCAAAAATCACTTGATTTGAAGAATCACTCAATCACATCATTGGCCGGATTATTATTGAGGTTCGACCTGATGTTAGTGTTGCGTACTCTATCTCTTCTCGTTTTCCCCTCAATCTTTCGGAGGAATCGCATTTCTGACGCTTGTATCCTTGATCGATGTTTCTTGGTCAGCGTCCATGATTCTAAATAGTACGTTAAATTGGGAAGAAATGTCGATCTGAAAACAGCTACTTTTGTTTTCTGTTCCACCTCGCGCCTGTTCAAAGAACCTCTCTTAACTGCCTCAAACATCCTGCTTGCAGCAGCGATTCGCTCAGTCACCTCTGAATCGATGTATCCATTTTCATTATATTGTTCTGGTAAAAGCTCAAAAACAAAGGTTCTTGTGTGCCCTTCTGTCCACGGTACTGTAAATGTATATTTAAATAATTCATTAAATAGAAATCCTATCCGGTCCAGACTTTTTATGATTGTTGTTTTCAACCATATAATAACATAAAGGCGTGAAATTGCTGGAGGAGCTCGAAGAGGAGCGATTTTCTGCCACGGCCTATGTAGACGATTTGGCTGCCGTGGTGGTCTCAAACAGAATAGCCGGTCTGAAAGCAGAAGCTGGATGATGCGCCAGTTTGGTAGGAAGATGGTGCGAGAGGAAGAAGTCGAAAATGGCTGCAACAAAGACCTAGGTAATTCTCTTGAGGGGCCTAACTGACACGGCACATCATATTATGTTGAGTATAGAAAAAAAAGGGTATGTCCAAGTGAGGTTGTCACCTATCTTGGCATAAAAATTGGTCGAAAGTTCAACGTGACTCCTCACCTGGACTATATGAGAACTAAAGTCACAGTGGCCCTAAATGGACCCAGTCGTGTCGAAGGCGCCTTCTGGTCGGGACCCAGGTTTAGATTCGATTGATGCGGCAGGGAGAAATGAGTCCTACACCTCATGTAAGGCATCAATTTGTTCCGTATGATCTTATCCCTATTATATATATGGATATAAATATATATTGCATATATCCCTGTAAATGGAACAAGGTAATTGTTAGTCACCACGATGTCTGAACAGTATTTTAATTAGTAGTATTAAATATCCTATAATCTAAAATCTTCCACAAAGTAAATACATTTCCTTTTAATAATCGCTCAATAGCAGCTTCAAGGTTCCAAAGGAAGTTTTGTGCCTTAGCTTACAATAAATAATGCAAAGGTGGCATGAAAGAATATTTGTTGCAAATGTTTGGCGTCTAACAAACCATGATTACCTGCAAACCCATCCCCAAAAATCGGAACAGTTGATTCCGAACTGACCGATGCTTTTTGTCCTTAAGGATCATCTAGAATTTAAACGATCACGTTCCTTTACCGGGCATTTAGAATGGACTGACAGAACAGAGATAATCTTGATTCCAACTGGAATCTTGGAAAAAAATTGTTCTCCACCATTTCTATATTTCTCATAATCAGTTACCTCACCAAACTGCGCCTTACTTGTGTCCCGCTTAAATGTATGCCGTTATAAGTAGTGGATCAGTCAGTTGTATTGACATAAAAGCGTTAACCAAAATGGCCATCGAAAAAGAAAAGAAAATAAGATAAAAATGCCTTGAATTCATACTTATTAAGTGCTTAAATATTTTTTTTTAAGAATGGTTTTCATTTTAAACGTTCCCTCCGGATAACTTCTTGGTAAGGGAGCCCCATTTCAGACTCAAGCCCAGGGTCTCCGATAGAGCCAGACGGGCCTGTTTGGAAGTGATAATTATACTCAGATACCAACTCCTGAAACAGGGTCTAGAAACTAATCAAAACGAATTTAAGTGGTGGCGTTCAGCTCGATGAATTAATAGCTATGAGCCAATATATCATGTTTTCTCCTCTCTTTTTACACCTCCTTGATGGAAATTATAAAATGAATTCCGTTCTCTAACGATTAATCCTGTAGGTTATACTGAAGACTGCTTATTGTTTTGGCTGGTTTTTGGTTTTATCAAAAATTTATGGTGACATAAAATTTGATATCAAGTAGTTCTTAAATTATTTTATAAATATAATTTTGTCGTCTTAAGTAATTGAGCTACAATGTTTCTAACTCAGGTTTTATTTAAGAGGAAAACTAAAAGCAAGTAAGCTTTTTGAAGATTGCTCATTTATATTTATCTTGATTGGTGAAACTTACTTGTTTTGTTTTTATTATAGATTTATTTTAGTTCTACTTGAAAGCTTAGTCAGTGGTCATCATCGCTCTTGGGTAAGAGAGAGGCTTGCCGATAAAATTGAAATTAAATTATTTGATCCTTATAGTAAGTATAAATCCCAAGCAGTAAATATCAGTAGTTGACTTTGCATATGCAAAATACAAATTTTATAGTTTAAAATTAAAAATGTATAAGATTTGACCACATCCTGTAATATCTTATTTTATCTATTCTCCTGGGTTCCTTATGCATTGGTTTATTTTGAATATGTATTTAATGTTTACTTAAAATATTTGTATGGACCTTGATTTGACCGTTTTTTACTTTTACAAATTGATACTTACAACACGGAGTAAGTATGTAATTTTGATATTTAGATAAATAGTTTACCAATTTTCCAAGTGTTCTATCTGAAGTTTTACATTACAATCTTTACAAGATTCTATCTAGATCCATCACAGTTTTAATTATTGAATTGAACATTAAAACTTATTTTTCACAATTTTTCTAAAACCCTTCCATTGTGAAATTATACCCCAAACAATAAACAAACGTGCGACTTTTACTCCTTCATAGCGGAAAGATGGATGACAGTAGACAATTTTTTTTTTTTTTTTTTTCCTATACCTAAGTAATGTCTGCTTCATTAGCCATGCGTGTTCTTGCAGGCCAATACAGTTTTGCTCTCCTAGCATAAGGGCTGTCAATTCATTAAAGGAACATCTTATGTCCTGTCATGCAGGGCATGTATCAAGATGTTCTCCTGTCATCATGTCTAAGGAACATAGAGCGCATGTCGGGCTATCTTTTATACCGTGGAGGTGCTACAGAAGACAATTGAATTGAATTTATTTTTATTTATTTTACTCCATTTTTCTAATATGTACAAAAATATAAATTTAAGAATTAATGTAATTATAATTAATAAGATCGCATGATTATAAATCTGACAGATCTTAAAAACAAATTAAAATTATTTCTTTGTTGTGAAGGTAATTGTCTTCTTCAGTATTGGAATTAGTATATGTTCAGTAACCATATTGGTAAAACACTGTATTCTAGCCATCACTTCCAGTTATCCAATTTTGACAAAAAAGTTGCTGTAAAATCCCAGGCATATACAAACCTTAAATATGCAATTTCGCTTTGGTATGACTTTTCCTTTTTGAGCTAGACTTAACAAACACCGTTTTATTGGACTTGATTATTTGGATTCAGGGGACCTTAATCCCAAAATAAACGATTATTTTCATTGAAAACTGTGATTCAAAAATTTTCATGATCACAATATTTTCCATTACTATATATTTCATACATAGGTTAGTGAAAGTAATAATTACGAAATCGCAAGTTCTAGCTTTCTTCACAAAATGTTAAGATAAAATATTGATTAAATTACTCCAAAATTATTAAATAGTGACTTACCTCATTGTGACTCACAGCTACAGTAACCCTGTTAATTTCCATTTAACAACTTACATTAATCCAGGACACATAAATACTGGTGGTGGGCTCATTAAACTGTGTTTATATGTTCAAAACACCACTACGTACTTTTTCCCATGCATACTTTTACCACCATGTACTCTACAAGAGGGTTTCTAAAATTTATTTGTGCTAGCTATAGTAAGCTTCTATTACAATACCATTTTAAGGATAAGTGTACAAAAAAAGTTTTGAGTCTTATTAGTGTTTTTGTACATTTGTTAGTCTAATAAGAATGTCACAAAGAAATTTTAATGGATGGGTGCAATCAAATTTTTTTAGCTCAAGGGTGTTTTCAAAAATTTTAACCCGACATGTGCCACCAAATTCTTTTAACTCAATAGTGTTGCCAAAAATTTTAAACCGACATGTGTCACCAAACATATTTAGCTCGATAAGAGCGTAGCAGAAAAAAAGTTTGAGAACCAGTGCCTTACAACATCTTTGAAGTTAGCCATCATTAAATATGAGAGGATTAGCATGATAATATAATTTAAGTTTGATGTTGATCCAGAATGTGAATAGTTTGTAAATTCACAATATTATACAAATAAAATTAAAGTACAGATTATGTATCATTCTAACCTTCATGTATATTTATGTGTGTGTATGCATATCAAGGTTGTTACAGATCTGAAAATTTCAGGGCTACCGGAAAAAGTGAGGGAAATTGGTCAAAAAACCTTGCAATTTCTGTATTTTCTCACTACTGTTTTTTATAAACTGTGAATTCAAGCATTCATTTATTTAGTGTTACTTTTTAGTTTATTATTTTAGATAATGAACCTTTGTAATCGACCAAGAAAAAAAGTCAACTCCCTCCCTTTTTAAGTTTCAAGTTAGATAGAATCTGAAAATCAAATAAAAAAATTCGTCCATCCACCTTCCACGACTTTTCTCCAAGACTACTGGACCAATTGTTTTGAGATTTAATATTAATGTCACAGGTCACCAATTATAAATCTCGACACTACCACCCGCCGTTTCCCTCTAAGAAGGTACCTGAAAAACTTGTGTCGCAAAAGACTGTAGCACTGTAGCATCTAAACGGATGTAACAATTCTAATGAAACTTAGCTAAAGTATTCTCTTTAAAGCCCTTTAAATTTATGTATCTAACATACTTCCCCATTATCTGCCCAATACATAAGAAAGGAGATCAAACAGAATGCGCTAACTATCGAGGAATCTCACTCCTTTCGTGTGCTTATAAACTGCTCTCTAACATTCTTTTTGAGAGGATTCTCCCGTATTCTGAAAAGGAACTGGGGAAATATCAGGCTGGATTTCGAAGAGGACGCTCAACCACTGATCAACTGTTCTCTCTGAGGATAATCCTAGAAAAGACTATGGAGCATAAGGTAGTCACCCACCATTTATTCCTAGACTTTAAAGCAGCATACGACAGCGTTGATAGAACGCAACTATACTGTGCCTTGGAGGAGCTAAGCATCCCTCAGAAGCTCGTACGCCTAATCAAGATGACCATGGACAGCTCGAGATGTAGAATACGCGTCGGTTCTGACGACTCCGAAGAGTTTAAAGTGAGCAGTGGGGTTAGGCAAGGGGATGCCCTCGCCTGTCTATTGTTTAACTTGGCAGAGGAGAAAGCTGTAAGAGACTCCGGTATTCAGACCAACGATATAATCTTCAATCGCCTGACACAGCTTCTTGGTTTTGCTGATGATATTGACATAATAGGTAGGTCTGAACAGGCTCTCAGAGAAGCGTTTATAGGCCTTGAAGCAGCTGCAAGACCACTTGGTCTAGAAGTCAACGAGAGGAAAACTAAGTATATGAGAGTTGGTGGTGAGGTGGATCTGAACTCTCCATTTGAGGTAGGTTCTTTTAAGTTTGAGAGAGTGAAAAGTTTTATATACCTTGGGTCTGAAATTAATAGCAAAAATGACATGGCTCAAGAAATACAAAGAAGGATCACGGCTGCCAATAGATGTGTCTATGGACTTGGCCGACACTTAAGAAGTAGGTACCTCTCAAAGAAGACCAAACTGATCATATACAAGACTCTTGTTCGGCCTGTTTTGACATATGGCTCAGAGGCTTGGACGATGACCAAAAACGATGAGATGAAGCTGAGTGTGTTTGAGCGAGGAGTCCTCAGAAGGATTTATGGTCCAGTAAAGGAGGGTGATGTCTGGAGGAAAAGAAAAAATAGGGAGCTCAGTTCTCTCTATGCAGACATCGACGTAGTCACCTATATTAAACTGGCCAGACTAAGATGGGCAGGGCATGTGGCCAGAATGAGCACCGTTGAGATACCCAAGAAAATAATGATGGAGGAGCTGCACCTCGCAAGACGGGTAGGAAGGCCGAGGACAAGGTGGTTGGACAACGTGGCCTATGATGCGAGAACCCTGCTTGGTGTACGGAACTGGAGAGCTGCAGCAGAAGACAGAGCCAACTGGCGGAGGCTCTTGGAGGAGGCCCAGTCTCGGTAACGGGATGTCGTGCCACACATGAATGAATGAATGAACATACTTCCCCGAAAAGAAACTGGAAAAAAAGTTATGAGGGATGTAAAATTAGATTTCAGAATAACTCAAAAATTGTATACATTTTAAAATTCTCTAAAATACTAAAAATAATATTTGGAAATCAGAGGATTTGTTGCAGAGATATTGTGTTCTAAATATTTTCTCTATGTTCTTTTGCAAAGCCAGTATTTTTGTTTTGGTAATGAACTGAATCCATCGAGATTTTTGCCTGTATATCTTAACAAATAATAAAAATAAAAAAAATAATGTGTACGCAGACCAATTTAGCCATCATCTTTTATTTATTTTCCTCTGAGTGGCAAGGAATATATTTGGAATGATAAAGCATTTATTTTATTTTCTAAATTGAGTTTTAAGTTATTTATTTTTTTTAAAACTGCTCCTTAAGAAAAATTGTATTTATTTGTTTTTCTACTAAGCAAAATGTGATTATGTTGAATACAAATACAAAATCCAAACTTAGATTTTTTCTTTTTCTTTTCCCCTATGCATAATAGTTAAATCTCATAAATTGATTCCCTGAATAATAATAATTATTAATGATTTTTAAAAAAATCAACTTGAAAAAGTCAGGCTATTTTTTTCTGTAGGTCTGTAACAACATTGATATATATATCTATATCCTGATTCTCATATTTATTATTTTATGATTTTTCATTGCAGTTCAGCAGGAGTCTGTCTATAAGGAATTGAAAAAAATAAAAAGTCTTAAAGTGTAGAATTAGAAACAGAAAATGTATTCAGTTGTTTTGTGTTTATTAATTTGGTAATAAAATAATGTTATTTTATCTTTTCTAATTTTGTTTTGTTCCGTTTATCCAAATTTTAACTATTCTTTGAATAATGTAATTTTTTATGATATTTTGTTCATGATGTATGACTTAATTAAAAGTGATATTTTGATAAATTGCTAAATAATATGTGTTCACTCAGTGGCAGTCATTGCAACCACACCCTTAGGTTTTCTGCCTCTACATATCAGATATTGCTGCAAGGTTGATGATTCAATGTAAGGGAGATAATATTGTGATGTCAGTAATTTATTCTTTTACAACTAAATATTAGTGAAGGTAATAATGATCTCTGAAGAGAAAAATCTGCAGTCATTATTGGTTTAGATGTTAAAAAAATAATTTTTATGACAGAATTACCACAATCTCAGTCTTCATTGTCTATTAGTTAGAAGAAAACTCATGTTGGATTGATTATTAGTCCCATAATAGCACTTTATATATAAATTCATTTCAACTTGGAAAAATAAGTGCTTTTGGGATGCTCAGAAATTAAAAAGTAAACATTTAATAAATTACTTTTTATGTTCATCTGCTGGATCCATAAGGAAGTGTTGAAGTGGCTATACCCTTCTTACTACCATATGAATGGCATATTTTTTTTTATCACTCTCCATCATGTTTCTGATTTCCCAAAATTTTAATCCTTCGTTCGTTCTGGAAATATATGTTCTCAATAAATAACTACAATAAATACAACAGTCCACTGACATATCCCAGAATAAATACAAATTATTATTATTATTACTATACGTAGATATCTCATTCCCCAACTGTCTATAATTTTCAAAACATTGTATTAGCTAACTATTTAATTTATCTAGTCAGTTTCAAATTGGTTTTGGGCAATGGTATGTGACTATTTTAGGATTTAATCTTGGAATACAACTAAAATTATATTTATAATTGAAATAGTGCATTTTAATTTAATCATTTTATGTGATTAGAAGGTTAAGGAATACATGATAAAAAAAGTAATTTATATTTTTTATTTTTGTAAAAAATACAAAAGAATATAACTAAATAAAAAATATACAAATACATTTTTGCCTTAGTTCATAAATCTTTCTATTTTTGGGTGAAAACATTTTTAAAATGAAGAAATGAATAAAAACTCTTAAATCTAGTGTAACATAATCAATTTGAGTATTTTTACATTAACCACATCTTACTAAGCAGATTTTTAACATAAGAAACTATTCTCATGCTAAATCGAACTAAACTTAAACAATTTTAAGAAATTTAACTACCCTAAAGAAATAGCCTAATACATCTATGAAGGCACTGACATTTAACTTGAACTAATCTGAGAAATTACTATTAATCTTTCTTACTGTAGTCAATGCTGAATCATATAGGGCTATAATTAAAAAAGAAATACATAGGAATTTATTACAGTATTAATTATTGCCCATTTTCCATAGATATCTTAATTCTTTGTTTCATTTTTAATGCATTGTTTAGTCTAATTCTTTGCATTAGTTTCTTTTCGGGGTTCTAACTTAATCCTAAATCCATCTGCTCTTTTGAGTATAATATCTGCCTTTAATTTCCATTCTTCTTCTGTATATCCTGGTTTCACATAAAAGGCCCTAAGAGTAGACGCTAATATTGTCTTCAGTTTTAACATAGCATACTTTCGACCTAACAAAAAAAAAATTAGATGGTCAAACTATATAATTTCCAATACTGTTTATTTGTAATTGAGAAGTTGAATAACTGTACTTCTATCCTGATGAAGCATTGAAATAATCATTTCCAGTTTAGAAAGTGAGTTTTGTGTTCGTTTTTGCCAATCCCTAACAGCTACCTTTAGGTTACCGTATACTTACCAGAGAGGGAGTGTCAAGATTCATTTCCCAGAGCTTCTGAGAAATGATATTAATAACCCAGGTGGAAATTGAACCCACAATGAGTTCAGGACTAGGTACTCTGGAACCTGCGTCGCAATGTACTGCGACTATATTCTAAGAATGCCATTATATTCTTAGGACCCTTAGTTACTCGTGACCATATTTTAATATACCACTGTAAAATATACTACAGAGAAATTTTTTATTAACGTCTTTTGACTTCCGCCATTAGTCTTCTCGTAGCATTGGGGCTGTTCTAGGGGATAAGCTGTAATGGTTTGTTTCTCTTCTTATATAGATGATATCGAGAGAGCACTTGGTTTATAATAACCTGACGCAATCACAATCACACCCTCTTCATCAGGATGGTTGGCAACCTTTTGCAGACGTCTCTATTCTGTTGTTTTTTACGGAATAGGGTTACTAGCCCTGTGATCAGCCTCTGATCTGGAGGACTATAGTAGGTATGTTATTAGACACAGAGGTCGCTCTCACCTTCCTGTGAATCTCAGGGTAGGGTTGTTACCGTCCCCATTCGGGATTCCAACCCGCCCCGTAGTGGCCTAAGCAATCGAGTAGGTACTGCACTGTATTTATTTATGATTAATTATTTATATCTTTTTTGTGTTATTAAATCCCGCAAACAGGATATAAACTTGTAGCATACAATTTACGAGGCACCTTAACTCGCTTGACCACCACAGTCCCCACAGAGAATACTATAAAGAACTTCACAACAAAAAATACTGATTAAATCCTGTAATGTTGAATCAGGAAAAGAATATTTTAAAACATTTTTTTTCTTGTCAATATATAATTGTAATAAGTTCAAAAATGTAATATTAGTTTTAATATCCTTACCAACACAACTCCTTGGGCCTGCAGAAAATGGAATAAAAGAATAGTAGTGCCTTGATGCTGATTTTTCTGGTAAGAAGTTATCTGGATCAAACTTCTCGGGGTTGGGATAGATATCTGCTCTCCTATGTAACTTGATGATTCCTATTACTACTGTGCAGTTTGCTGGTATTATTAGGTTTTTTGAAGCTAAAAAAAGTTAGGTGTAATCAATGAATTTTATTAAATTGCTTTTTATTCTCAGTTTTTATAGTATAAAAAAAGAATCAAATTTTGTGCAATGTATTATTACCTAATTTGAATTCCTTTTTTGGTTGTCTTGCAATAATAGGAACTGGAGGATATAAGCGGAGAGTTTCCATTAAGCACCGCTCTAAATATTTCATTTCAAGAATATCATTAAATGTGATATCTCTATCAGAATCTCCCAATACTCTCATAATTTCTTCATAACATTTTTGCTGTTAAGAAAATTTTATAATCATATAAATGAAAATATATATGTATTCATTAAATACACTAAGACTTATACAAATTAAATATATAATGTTATGATATTGAAAATATTATGTACCTGAATGTCTGGATGTGCTGCCATCATACATAAAAAGAAGCTACTAGCAGCTGCTGTGGTGTCATGGCCCTGTTCATTATAATTACTTTAGTTATTATTATGTTAGTAATTACTTATGTTATTAAATTGTCTAAAAACATGCATGTTGTCTTATAACTTTAGTCAAGTCAAAGGCTTAGCTAGGAGGATCATCCTGGGAGCTGCAAATAGGCAAGCGCCAAAATGCCAAAGATTATAATTTTTAATAGTTATTTTTAAAAACAAATAGCTCAGTGGATATCTCAAGTGAAGAGTTCTTTGAACTTGTAAATTATATGAATACAATGTAAAATGAACATTAATATATTATGAAATGCACCAGATCACTCCAATTTTGGCTATCTGATGCTATTTTTTAGGTTGTTCATATCTACAATTCTCTCTAACCCTTTAACGATGGTGGACTCATATGTGAGTCGAGATCCTGTCAGTCTCTTTCTTGTTAAACAACAAAGTGCTCAGTGCTAAATTATACTTTCAAACTATCTCATGGCCTTCCCATTAGGAAGTAGGTAATTGTTCAATGACTGAAGATTATGGGAATTTTTATATGATGCCTTAAATAAGAAAGTTTAAATGGTCAGTAAAAGTGATGATAAGTATTTTGTCCTCAAGAATGCTCCACTGCACAGCATTCAGTTTTTGTTATTTTTTAATCAAACTAATATGGATAGTACCTCATGTTGTAAGTAATTAAATTTTATGTATATAATCATTTTTATGTATAATTTTTATCATAAATATTGTTTTAGGAGTTGTTCCAATAAACACATCTAAATTAACTTTTTAAGATCTTACAATACGTATTACAAATCTTCTTATGGTTCTTTTTATTCAGACTATGAGGGACAAGATAAAAAAATTGCCCTCATCCGATTTTAAAGATTTTTTAGGGGGAATTCATATACAAATAGAGGAGAGTTAAGCTGTCAGAGGGTAGATTCCTTTAAAAAGATTAGATGGTTCCAAAAAAAACTCAACAATTGTTTATATTTTACAGTTGAGTAAAACGTTGTGTGGCCAGCTCTGGAATTTCCAGGATGTACCCAGAAAACAAAGAGGAAGAAGACTATAGAGTTAGGGACTATTTAATGTGGAGGAGTTGGCATAATCAAGTTATTTTGTATTTTAAAACACATCCCCCCTAAAAAGAAGTACAACATGATTGGGATAAACCAATTTGATAATGTTGCTAATTTCATCTTGGTGACCAACGTTTAGATTCTACATAAAAACTAAAATTCCTGTCTTTATTGTCATATTTTTCAGTATATTTTTTTCGGGCCCCCCAAAAAAAGTTTGTTTCAATCCGCCTGGGCTCTTAACTGACATAATAGAGGTTTTATATTATTTTATAGACCATTTAAGTGATAATTTGTTGTAAAAATTCATTATAATATCGTTATAAATTATTTTTGCTATTTTTAATAATATTACTAACCTCAAACATAATGGTGTCTAGTTGTTCTTTTACTTCTTTGTCATTGATTGAATCATTGTTTGCTGCTCTTTCCAAAATAGATTCCAAGAAAGCATTTCTTTTTTTTTCTCCTGAAATTAAAATTTTTACAAAATTATATTTTTAACTGTGCACTATTTATTATTCGAAATTAACTTATTTAAGTTGTAGAAATTTCCTTCACTTTTAAAATAAATTATTCCTTGAATTACATCTAATAAATAAACTATTGCTACATAATATACAGTATTTTACCTATATCTTCAACATCTAAATCATCTTTTAATCCACTGGCCTGCCCATAAGAAAAACCTTCTTTTGATTCACTTGTTTCTTTCAAAACTTCTTTTTCTGCAGTTTCTTGATGTTTATCTTGTATTTTGTTTTCAAATTGTGCCTTTTTCACCTTTAGTACCTGTAATAAAGTAAAATTATATAAGTATAAATTATAGTGATCAAATTTATATCTTGTTGGAAATTTTTAGGAATTTATAATAAATCACAGTGATTTTACTTTCTTATTTTTGATTTATTAGTTATATTACTGATTTGGGGATATTGGGATATTACTCATTTTAATATTTCGGAACAATTTCATCCTACATTGAATTATACAATATTATGAAATGTAAACAATTGTTTTAAATGAATATAAATTTTAATTAATTTATAAAGCTACTATATTAATCTAATTTATTGTTTTATTATATCATTTATCTTTACATTCCATATACTGTTCTTCATTATTTCATAAATTTTCTGATAGTTAAAATTAAATTTACAATAAATACATGAGATTTTAAAGTAATTTAATATTGTTCTGAACAATTTTTGCGAAAAACCTCATTGTTTTTTAGATATTCTCAAAAAAAAAAGGCAGTTTTCTACTCTTCTCCCCCTCCTTCCTTCAAAACATAACGCGAGATTCTTAAGGACCATTCACCAGTTATTATGGGGAAGGTAATAAACAATTTCGGACAAGTTTCATCTTTATTTTTGAATTTTGGGGCCAATCTATAATTTTACTGGACTATATATGGCAAGTGCAATTTTTATGTCCTTGCACCTCAACAATTACAGAACAGTAATGGAGTAAACAGTTGTCTCCATACCACCTTCATGCATGAATTATGGAAGTAAAACATCAAAAATGATGTTTCGTGTAAACCTCAATTGAAGTTGAAAATTTGAATTTCTAAAAAATTGTCTACTTAATGTGTTTTTTATTTAGTGAGCCATTTTCCATCCAAAAACAGTTAATAAAAGATGGCCAAACAATAAAAATTTATAACTATTTCAATTAAGATGTTCATAAAACTACGATTTTTTATTTGTTCAATTATTTGTAACAGGAGTATGTCCAAAATTGATTTAAAAAAGCTTATTTGTTAAAACAATTATGGTTCCATTTAGTAAATTATTTTAATAATAATAATAAGTAATATTGAATCATAGTTATTTTTTAACAGTACTTTTTTTCATTCTTAAAATAGAGGAATTATTAAATTTTTTTAGTCTCTGGCAGAAAAAATAAAATATATGAAATTAGTTAAATATAGATTAAACTGTCTGAATTTTTAAATTTATTGGAAAAGGGAAAATTCAAGTTTTGAAGAAAATTTTCAAAAATATAATTATTGAGAAACAATATTTAGATTAAAAAGTGGATGTATCAACTTTTAGTAGGATGGGCAAATTGTTATTACTTAAAATATCTCACCTTTTCTGTAAGTCCGTGAATGACTGAGAGAAGACTCTTTTGCTCCGAACCATATTTAGAACTATAGAATACTAAATCTGGTCGTAAATAAAACTTTGTGTGTCGAAGGTGTACAATATCACATAATCTAAAAATAAAAGCCAATTAGTTTTGGTCAATTATTACAATGAATTATTCTTTTTTACTTATTATGATCAAATAATAATATTTGAACTCCTGCTGGTTATACTGAATCCAGTAATATATACAAACTATTTATTAAATAATTAGTTAGTTAGGTGCTAAACATACAAACAATTTTAAAAAGAGTAAATTGTTATTTAACTAATAAATAGTTTTTTTAGAATTTAAACTACAAGAATATATTCCATTTTTTCTGAGAATATTTTCAACTGTGCTATTGCTGACACTCCCCTCTCCCCCCTCCCGTCTTACACGCAAACAATCATTGGGTGTTCCAATACTTTTTCTTAATAAATCATTTAATATACTGTGTATTATTGAAAATCAGCTTCATTCAAAATAAATTTTAAATTACTAACATAAGATTTTTTCAGATTAGAAATTAGTACACTTACTTCATCACTGCCTGTGCATAATCAAAACAACTCCTGCCTTCATTCTCTTTTTTGACACCCATTACAGTTTCTACCATAAAAATGTAATATATTTATTGAATTAATATAAACTGACTGATTGACATAATAAAATGGAATTTTGTATTTTATTTCTTAATATTGTTAATAATTACCTATGAGTACTTCAACAGTAAATTCACTCATATAATCATGTATATCAAATTCATTATCTCCTTCTTTTGCTAGTCTTTCTAATGTTTTTTTTGAATTTCTGTTAAATCTTTCCATAAAGCTGCGAAGAACATTCAGATGAAATGTTGGAGCTATTATCTTTCTATGTGATCGCCATTTCTCTCCTATAAAAGCATTAATAAAGTAATTTATTTTTAGTTGAAATCAGTTTGATCTGATACAATTAATATAATATAAAGCTATAATATTACCTAATAGGCAGTTCCTATACTGTTATTTTTATAAATAGGAATGGATTTATTTATTATGGAAGGTAATGTACTCTTAATGCAAGTCATAAGTCTCAGGTTTAAGCTCAGCTGTAGCAGAAAATTTATTTTAACATCAAAGACGTTCCAGAAGCACCCAGTCATAAGTAGGTGGAATACCTTCTAACTCTTGGGTGGGGTAAAAACTTGGCAATTGAGTGTGAATGATAATCACATCGCTTCCTTATATGAAATTACTCTATTATATTAACAGTAATTTCCACTATACTTGGCATGATGGCGGAAGGTGCTTAGACAAGCATAAAACACGCTTTGCAACCTGATAAACTGAATATTACGTGTTTGAATCCCGGTGCTGGGGGACTTTTAACTGTGGTTATTAATCCTTGCTCTCTTCCATGGTCCAGAAAGAACCTCGTTGAGCCGAAAAAGTGAGGTGGGGAGAAATAGAAGAGGAAAAAAAAACCTCTTTAAAATGTAAAATAAGTTATGAAATATCTTATTTCTTGCACACAATTTTCAAAGAACGTAATCAAAACAAGTTTCACATTTTAATCCTTCTTTTTCTTCCCTTTAAACTTTATTTAAAAAGATTGTGCTGTAAACTTTTCCCCACGGGTTATAATTGTTATTATAACGATTTCGGATGACTTCATATGTTCATATATAATAAAAACCTTACGTAAGCAGTATTTTTACTAGCCATATAAATTTCTGTAGATAACAAAGATGATGTCAATAAAATATAAAAATCTTTCATTATTGAAGGTAGTAATTTTAGGATATCCAAGCTCTAGTATGGAAAGTTATTTGTCACACAATAGAAAAATAAAAAATAAAATAGTATTCTTAGAACTAGAGTGAAATGATGTGTGTCAATACATTTTGTTGCAACTGTACCTACGTCGCACAAGTATTTTTTTTTTTCGTCCATCTTATTGTTTCATTTTTTATCCCAAATATATATATATATGTATTAAAATATTTTTAAAAATTAAATTTACCTGTGCTTACTAGAAGTCCATTTCCTAACCATGGTCTCAAAAAATCATATTCGGCAGACTTGTCCAAATGATCATGGCTACTGAGGACAATCTGAAATTGCGGATATTATATTTATTATAATGGGATACATTTCAAAACTCATTTGCTTACGTTAATAATAAATTAAAATCAAATAAATCTTATTTATCATTATTTTTTAGAAATTATGATTCTTCTCCTCCTCCGATTCTTTCCTTGAACAGTCACAATTTTAATTCCCTTAACTCGTAGAAAAATCTTACTCAATCTTAAACCCAAGATTGGAATGGATAATATTATTTTTCGTATATTGAGTGTATAGATGAAATCCTCACTTCCAATCTTGCTACTCTATACCTCACTCTACAAACTTGATACTCATGCTCCTCTCAAAACCTCTACCTTTTGTCACTGCCCGGCTTCTTGGATATGCCATGAAATTGATGATCTTCAAAAGAGGAGTGATGATGGACAAAAATACTTTGCCATTGTTCAGATCCAGTTGTTTAGTCCAGATCACCTCTCAGATCACCTTTTCAATTTCATCTGATGATTTAAATTCACATTTTATTTCTGCTTCCTCCTTCACTTTCCCACCACCCCCTTTCTATTGTCTTCTGGAAAACCTTTTAACGACAGCGAATTATATTTTTCCGACATTTCGCCCACACACCTCATTTTCTCTATGATGAAATCTCATTTTAATTTAACTGGCCCACGTGGTATTCCAGTCAAATTATGTCTTCACGAAATCCCTCCTGATATTGTTCTGTTCATCTAAAATTTCTCCCATGAGAATTTAGCATTTCACATATCTCTTGGAGAAAAAAAAAACCCTGTTATCCCTTTAAATAAAATTGTAATCCTTTTTTTCCCGATGATTTCCGCCCTATATCAATCCTATCCAACCTGTTGAAAGACTATTGGAATCCTAAGTTTCCAATTTCCTTGAACAATTCAATCAACTATACCCTCACCAATCTGCTTTTAGATCTATTTACTGCACACAATTCGCCCTAATTAAAATCATCAATTATATCCAATCCGCTATAGATTACAAACACTAATCATATTTTTTTCCAGCAATTATTTTTAGCTTCAATATTTATTTTCTTAACGTTCCGAAGCAGTTGCTATTCCCAGTCAAATTTTGTCTTCTTATCTTACTCCCTCCTCAGGAGAGGCCCAGGATCGAGCACAGTATCTCTTGTCATCTTCATCTCCTATATTTCGCATATTGACGTGTAGAAATTAACCCTTTGCTGCTCCTATCATCTCTAATTCGGCTTTTTCTAATTTATTTATTCCATTCTTCCTCTGATTTATGTGTTACGTACGCCAAAATAAAATTCAAATGAAATAAATCAAATTCAAGAAGACCTAGCTCGAATTAGCGCCAAGGCAATCTTAAATAGACTAAGGTTTAACCGCTTCAAAAATTCAGGCCAGTGTCATTGGTTTCAAACCCCTTATCTGATCCAATACCGCAACATTCTTACCCTGTATGATCATCCCATTACCTTCAGTTCCTGTGTTAAGAACTTAGACATTATCATTGATTATCATTGGCTGCATGGTATATGGTTGCTTTTCTGCTGATCTTGTGAACAGACCAATGAGAGCTATGAATAGCTTTGTAAGATTCCTTAATGGAACCATTGCTCTTTCTATGCCTACAATCTCTTCCAATTCCTCTATCCGCTCCTTTAACACAAGATCGCCACCTTCTTACCTTTATACCCCTTTCCACAGATTTGCTTCATCAAACCCGTTCCACCACTTTTCAGAATTCCCTGCCTCATAAAATCCGCCATGCCATCTTCTTTTTCATATTTGGAACTTTCCTATTCTGATTTTTCTTCTCAAATCAATCAGACCTTGCCTAATTATGTATTAGTTAATACTAATTCATTTTTCTATGTGTATCATTTTTTTTTTTTTTTTTTTTAGTGAATTATATTTATAAATATTTCATGGTACTACTGTGTTTCCGCCATGATAGTAATAAGTGGTTTAAACATTACTGATCAGTTTTCAAGTTATTTTCAGCAATTTACTTGTAAGTGCTCTTTCAAATCAAGTTTCTTCATAATAATATTATTTTTACTAGCACATTGATTTAGCTTAATGGTTTTCATCTTCTCATGTTTTCATGGAATAATAAAATAAGTAGAAGTAGTAAAAAGTAGGGTTTTTCCATCACTTACCCTTCTAAATAAGGGAAGGAAATTTTCGGATCTCTGATCCGTCCAAACGAGAGAATGAGAGAACGAGAGAAACAATTCAAAATCTGAAAATAATTCGAAAAAAATAATAACTTTAAGATATCGTGCACGCATAACAAAAGCTCCTCTTGTTAAATTAAGTATTTAAGTGAAAATAAATTAACAATTTTTCGGAAAAAAATACTTGTCTACAGTAGAAGAGGGGAAAGTGACGGGCAGAATATAATTCTTGGGACAAAATAGAAAACAATCAAGAAATTATTAATTAACCCAAATTATGTGTCAACCTTCTTATAACGTTTAAACTTTTAATTGATTAAAAATGTATTTATTTATTCAAAGTATTTATTCAAAAAGTATCATATACAATTTGGTTTCTGAAAAGTAATATTCCAATATTATGTTGTTGAGAATTTGTAGCAAACTAAACAACAACGAAAAACTATGAAAAATGAAAAAAATATTGAATCGAATTTTTTAAAAAATCTACAAAAATAAGTCTACCATCAAATTAATGACAATGTTTTTATATAAAAATTTTTTATTGTAAAATTTCAAATAATGGATACAGTGCCTCAATTGCTTAACTAATTATATTTGACTACTAGAAAATTTGAGAAACATAGTATTTTTTTATAAGAAATTTTTACCTCAATGTCTGCTGGATTTGTAAGAAAAACCAGTAATCTTGGTCCCGCCCACACTCTGGCGACATCTGGATATATTTCACTCTTCGAATATAGGTTTTCAAATATTTCTAAATAAAGAAAATATATTATTTAGTATTAAATTATATTATTTTAATTATTAAATTGATCAATATTAAATGATAAAGTATTCATATGTATAATATTAATTGTTGTTAGGTTCAGTCCATGGGTTTTTTTTTTTCTTTGCATTGTTGTTTTTCAAGAAAAAGTCCTAGTGCTTTATTTTTTAAAATTTAATTTTCTCCTGTATCTTAAAATTATTAATTTATTTTCCATTTAAACTTCTTAAGTAATTTTATTTGTTATTATCATGCGTTTTCGCGTCATTTCAAGTTGAAATTAGAGTGCCCCAATATAAAAAAGAGAGACAAAAACTAAAGCTTTCGACAACATTGAAAGATATTTTGGGAGACAATGAGGAAAATGCCGTCATTCTCTTTGTATATTTATTGGAAACAAATCACTATAGTAAAATATAAAAATTAAGAAAAACCGCCAATGACCCTCTAGGGTAGGGGCGAACACAAATATTAAAAAAGTTGAAATTTTAAACAATTTCATTTCAAACATCATACAAGTTAGTTTTATGAACTTTGATTCTCTTCAACATTAAAATGCTTTATAAAGCTTTTTTTATTGAAAAATAAATATTTCTATGAAAAACCTAGTTATAAATCAAATATGTAATTATCAAATTAAACAAAACTAACAAACAAGTTTTTCAGGAGCGAAAAAAAGTATTGGTATAACAACTCATAGAGGTGAAAGAAATCCTCTGGCCAAAATAATTTCTGAACTTTTGGATTCATAGGTCATCAAAAAAAAAAAAAAAGCTCTACGGTCATTGTACGCCATTGGCTGGGATCAGAGTTTTGGACTCGAAAATACATAAATAGCCGATAGTCAAACTTTTAAGTAATGTCCAAAACATTCGTCGTTTCCGTTTATGAAGACGTGAGATCTTTAGGGAAATTACTACTTTAAAAAATATAAAAGCTCATAATAAATTTGTTTTGACCAATTGTAAAACAGTTAATATTTGAAATAAACATTGTGAGCTGTTCTAAATAGGACACCATTGTTTCTGTTTACAAAATAAATATTTGAATAAAGCTGATCCTACGCCAATTAATTACGTAAGGAAATTGTGCTACAAAGTATCTGCTCTTGACTCTTTCAACCACGGCCCTAACCTTGAAGTAAAAGTGTGAAGTAAAACTTCACCATGTAGCTTTTTATGGTGATTTTTCTACTATTTTTTAATTAATTAATTATATGTTTTTCGATATTATTACTTTATTATACGAATCGTGCTTATGTTAAAAAAAAAATCAATATAATTTACAAAAACCACAGTCGTATAAAGTATCAACATGTTTTTCGCATTCAGTGACGCGTTATACAAATTTAATTAAGATCTATAAATTAAATTTTATTCCTAATTTATACTATGAATTAAAGCATTAAAACTTTGAAATTGTGTTTGTTAATAACCGTTATTGCATCCATATTATGTGATATTTTAGATGGCTATATATTTTTCATAGAGTCAGAATTTATAATAATTCACGATTAATTAAAGTTTCGAACCCTGACGAAAAACTAACAGTTTCTTCTTCGAGTTAAGAAGGCGTCATGTCTATACCACCATTAAGATCTCTGCTCTTCTACACTAACCTAGTAGTACCACACCAAATAATAAATACTACACAATATATCACTGGCTACACTTCAATCTTCATATATTTCATGAATTCAACAATAATATATTTAATTTGATTAGGACTTTCTTAAAATTTAAAATAATAGTTTTGAATACCTCAATCCTTTGACTTAAAAAATAAAAAATAAACGTTATATCCAAAATTCTTTTTCCATATATTAAATATAGCAAGGATCAAAAAATGATTAATGCTTTTAACGTATATCATGCCGGGGTATTGAGAGTTTACTAACAGAAAAGTTTTGGAACCATTTATTATTAAGAAATGTTTAATAGTGTTTAATGATGAAATTATCTTTTACTTGAATCAATCCAGAAAAAATGTAAAAATCCGTTTTTTATTATAAAAAAATTTTCTTATTAGTAATATTTAGAACTTATAATGAGACCTAGATTTTCAACAGACGCTTAATTTCATTGTATTTTTTAAATTAGAAACTTTTTTCTACGATAACTATTTACGCATTAAAAACTCATTCTTAACACAACTGTGCAAATCGAAAATTGTTTATATTTTTTTTTTATTTATTCAACTTGCGTGACACTCAAAAATTGTATTTAAAAATAAGAACTGGCAAAAAAATATATTTTATTAAAAAATATTGTGTATTGTTATTTAAATGAAAAAATATAATTAGAACAAAAAGAGTTTAAAATATTCCTTAGTTTAGTAAATTTAGATAGTTTTTTTTTTTAATATAGCAAAAACTGCTTTCTGACGGTAGGCTCAGATTTTTGAAGATCGTTATGTGTTATTTAATTAATTATGCTTTTATCAATCTATTTTAATTAAATAACCGCGTCATATAAAGTCGCAAATATTACCTGTTAAAGTATTCAATATGTTATTTTTAGTTTAGCAATTTATTAAAGTTCTTATAGTCAGGAGATCCTTACCGTTGGGCGTCCCTCGCAGTTCGAGAGCGTTTCCTATGATCGGAAGACCCGGAGGACCTGGTATCTTTTCTGCGAGTTCGATGAACCTCTTGTTGGCCAACCTCCATCCCACGTAGAGGAGGATGAAGATGGGCAAGATGAGAGAGGATATGGAGTAGAGGCGACTCCTCAGCTCGCTGTGGTCTAGTTCTTGCGAATCCATGTTGACCCTCTTCCAGCTGGGCGAGCTGTGGTCCTTACTTCACCTCTACTCTGCTTTGGCTTCTCTCCCCCCTCCAGCTATATTTTTCAAAACTAGTCTTATAAAGAATTCTTCCATTGCCTTGTCATCTTTGATAATCTCCACAATTACAAAACACTATCCTAGAAATATTCCATTAACTGGATGTGATCATCGACTTTTTTATATTTTATGGCCAGACAAATAAATGAAATATCGGCATTCTCTCTACTTCGTATCTAGTAAAATTATACTAAGATATTTACCTTAGCTCTTAAATTACTTTCTGTGTCTTTTTCTGCCATGACTTCTGGAAACTGGAGTTAGAATATATTAAAATCATTAAACCTTTTAAGGTCGAATTGTTTACCATCTTTAGTTACGGCTCTTAGTTATAAATAAAAAAATATTTTTATATGAACTGGGTATAATATCGATATTATAAAAATTTTAGCATCTACTTTCAGTTTTACAATAATTTTCAAGAAATAGTTAGCGTTGAATAAATATAATGTTAATTGTTATATATGATTTAATCCTTATTTTAATATAACATTGATTTATGATTTTATGTTAAATTTATATTTATATATAGTGTATATATATGTTAATTATTTGAGATTATATATTTTAAAAAGGACCTTATAAGTTCGAAAAAACAGAGCTTCAGTTCATCGATTATGTCGTGTTAATATAATATATAAACATTTTTATATACATATTATGTTTATAATTATTTAACTGAATTTTAAAAAATATCTATTTCTGGAGCTGGAAATGAAATTTTATTTTTTATTTTTAATCAGTTTCGGTATGACTGTAATCTTATTTCGGAACTAGAACTTTTACTTTTATTAATTTATCAAATTTTTGAGTAAAAATTTTAGGGAAATTTTATTTTGTAATGCTGCAGTTTAAAAGAGTTGTTGATCTCGACAATAAGTCTATCTAAAAAAAACTTTTTTTCTTTTGCTACTCAAAGAAATAACGTATCAGAATCAACTAATTCATTTAAGTTAAACTATAACTCTAATCTAAGCCCAATAACTGTTTATTTTCCATTTAATGTTATTTCCTTTAAGGACTTGAATAAATAAAGTTAAACATTTACCGTATAACTAGAACTCATCGCCGTTCTATGATGGAAAGGCCATTGCTCCTACATGGAATCCATGGAAATCCATGTAAACTATTTTTTTTTTAAATTGTTGTTTATTAAATTGTGCTTCATTAAAAAAATATATATAAATTTTAATAACAATTAACTACTTAGTATAATATTATAGAGTTTGAAACCATGTATTTACCTGAGATTTTTCAATATTCAGTCTTCCCCATCCCCTAATACGAAAGCTTAAGCTCTTGTTAAAGTTCCTCTAAAGGTTCCTTTGAATTTTTATTTTTAAAAGTTTTTTTCTTCAACGTTTCACAGTAACTGTTAAAACAGAAGAACTATTATAAAAAGTTCCAGCCCTTGGTTAATTCTTTAAAAAAACACAATTAAAGACAAAAGTCTAAAAAGCTATCGTATTTCGTGAATTCATGTGTATTTATTGAAGAAATATATAACCAATTGGTATTTAGTGAAGAAATATGTAACAAACATCGACGTAAATTTTTAATACGTTTTTATAAATTTGTATCTTATTCAACAATGCAGAAATATAGTAATTGCATCAAAATGACAAAAATTCTATATAAAAATAATTCCACAAAGTTTTGATTTTACTTAGGAAAAATCTTAATATTTATTTATTTCATGAAACGTTACTTAACCACTTTTTAGGATAAACCCGCGATATATTTCAGCACTTTTTTTTTTCTTCTTTTTTATTATTTATATTTATAATGTTTATTATTAAATAATATAATATTCTGTCACTTGGACAAGAATTATATGGTGGTAAGGCCAAATTCATACTTTATAAATAGAAAAGATAAAATGAACAGAAAAAAAATTACGACTAAATCATAATCAAAAAGCATATACAAAAAATAAAATAACTTAAAGATAAGTAAATTAAAAAGAACAAATTCAAACCTACATAGACTACTTTCAGCGGTAGCAAAAAAAAAAATCTAGTAAACATGCTTACATACAATCCTCTATAGGAGGGGTCTCCAAACTTTTTGGGCGTGGGGTACATTGAGAACTCCAATAAATCACGCGAACCACATTGAGACTTCCACTAAGTCACGCGGGCCACATTGAGGCCTCCACTAAGTCACGCGTGCCGCATTGAGGCCTCCACTAAGTCACGCGGGCAACATTGAGGCCTCCACTAAGTCACGCGGGCAACATTGAGACTTCCACTAAGTCACGCGGAACCCATTAAGGTCTCCATTAAGTCACGCGGAACCCATTAAGGTCTCCTATTAAGTCACTCGGGCTTGTAATGAATAAATGGTACTTCATTTGTGAAATGAGTTTTCTAAAGGAGCAACTCACTTAAGAAATAGTCTTGAAACCTCCTTTTTGAGCGATTAACTAAATTTCGTATTTTTTAAATAATTTTAAAATTTTACTATGTAATGAAAGAAGCTTTCGCGGGATGGATTGAAGATATTCGCGGGCCGTAGTTTGGAGATCCCTGCTCTATACTAACTGAGTTATTTCAGCTTTAAAAAAAATAAGTATTATTAAAATATTTTAAAAATATTGAATACAAAAATATAAACGAATAATTTATAAATCTCCAAAATACAACAGTATCAAACCGAAGGGTTAAAGGATCGTTAACAATTAATTAATCTTAAAAAAAAGTTTATATTTTCTAAATAAATTCCTCGACAACTTAAGATAATCTATTAACACATGTATGTATATCTTATAACGTTATCTACGTAATGTTATCTCAAATAATGCCTAACCTATGCATTGTACACTTAACAAAATATACCTTTCTCTGTGATTACCTTATTATCTGACAATTATATGGTTATATGTAATATTGAATATTTAATAGTTCACCAAATATACCTTTCTCTGTGATTACCTTATTATCTGATAATTATATGGTTATATATAATATTGAATATTTAATAGTTGACCGTTGCATTATTAAGGGAGGAGATGGTTCGGGGTAGCGGTCATAAATAGTGGCAAAACTATTTTATTAACTATTTTATTTTTATTATTATTATTAACGTTTCGACCCGACTTTGCAGGTCTTCTTCAGAACTAGAACGGAAAAGATATAGAGAATTGTGGAAGGTACATCATATTTAGATAAAAAATTATAACCAATGTGAATAAACTTATTAAAATTATAAACAGTAAGTACATTAAAATATTAAGGACAATAAGTTGTATAAACAGAGTAAGCTAAGTAACAAGATCCTAAACTGAAGTTAAAATGAATTTTTCTTTTTAATTTTTGGTTTTTCTCATCTTTTACATCCCTTTACGTCAATTATTTCATATTATATCCTATTTCCTCTTCTTGTAATCTCTCCTGTAGATCTGTTGGAGTATATTCACAATTACATATGTTATATTTTATTATACTACAACCATCCATTTACTTCAGTTTAGGATCTTATTACGTAGCTTACTCTGTTCATAAAAATTATAATCTATTTTATTTATTTATTATGTCTAGGTTTCAAGATATGGAAAAACAAAAGTGGAGTTCGATATCCTAATGATTATTTTATAAATAGCTAAATTATTTATGTATCTAACTGAAGGTTATTATTATTTAACACGATCACACTAGAAGAAAAATATTTGCACCTTAGAAACATTATTTAAGAAGAAATAAAATTTATACTGTAGAAAATAAAAATAAAATTAGACAAAAAAAAATCATTGGATTTATCGTTATTATGTAACATAGAACTAGCTCTATTTAATGAAAGTCTACTTGATTTAACTAATAAATACATAGATTATTTATTTATTTAAATGTGAAATTTTCATATTTAATTCTCTGGTTGTTCTTTCAAGAGTTTAAAACTGCAAACTGTAAATAATTAAATTCATCTAAAGTTAATTGTTGATTATTATAACAATTTATAATAAGATTTAAATTGTTTAACAAGAACAAACAGTGAAGGTGAGAGTATTTAATTTATCTTAAAACATAATGCTCCATTGCATTTAGATTAACGCAGAGAAGAATCCTGAACTTGTTAAATATTTATTTGAATAAAAAACAAAAAAACTTTAATGCGCGTTGATAGAGTGATATGGTTATTATGCCTGATTATAAAGTATTATGATTATAAAGTATAAATTTTCCAAAGTTAAAATTTCCGAGAAAAGTTGATGTTGATCCATTTTGTTGAAAACTGGCTGGCTCTGTTGGGTTTCCCCCATGCAGATTCCTAAATGTCCCTCGCCTCGAGTGGAATTTCCCCATCCATTACCAGTTCCTTAGAAAAGAACAGAAGACAACAAATTCAATCGCATTAATATCATGTTTGTTTATTTTTTTATAATTGAAATAATTATACTGTTTTTCTATTACAATCCATATTACATAACTAACTTAGTTAGCAAGTAAATATTGGACCTAATTTGTTAACATGTTAGCATTTATAATTGACAAAGCAGCTTGTCAAATGTCCATTAATTTTAATTATTCATAATTAAAAAATGATGATAAAATATTGAGGTTATTCATTAAAATTTGTTGAAAAGATTTTTTTTCTTGTTTGAATATTTTTTAGTTTGAGTCCATAGTATTTTCGAAGACTGCGGCAATGAAAAGATAACAATAGACCCTCAGATTGTATAAATACAAAAAGGTAAAATAAATCTATATCCGACTACCTAATCGTAAAATCGACAGAATTTTAGAACATCTCTTTTTAGAAGACATCTCTTTGATAACATAATATTCGACTCTCATATTGAAGATATCCAAAAAATCGTTAACCGACGTCATAATCCTAAAATCGATAATATTTCAAACGAATGCGCCAACGATAACGAGATAATAAACCCTTACACGGAAAATATCCAAACATACTGAAGAAATTGTTAACTAGCCGCTTTATGTTAAATTGTTAGTATTTTTAATAACTATGCTTAGGATAGCTTAATCATACATTCTTACATCGAAA